CCACGGCAGCTTCAAATTTATGCCCATTACTTCGTCTTGGGATTCAAGCATTTTGGAATTTTCTGGAAAGGTCCATGCTCCGTTGCAATAATGAAACGACTTTGATTTCTAATCATGTATAGCTGCTTGATACGGCAGCTGATACATGTGCAAGAATCAAATATGTTTGCAATTTATCGGCTTGTATATTGTCGGTATTCTTGCTTAATTAAAAAGGCAGTTTATATATTTGATATATATCACGGAATAAATTGATCTGATTACTTAATTAGCAGCTTTATATCTATAAATAGTTTCATGCAAGATGTATATCTATAACCAACTTTGGCACGTTAGATCCTGTGTTCGGTATTGGGTATACTGTATATATATAGCAGATTACTGTAGCCAGACTGATCTGGAATTTGGGCATCCAAATTTTGGGTTTCGCTGAACATTTGCGCGGCGGTGAATCTGTTTGCCTTTGAGTGATATAAAGACTTTTATTCTGACAATTTTACGTATATGAGTATATAACAGTTAATAAAACTGACTCAATTTCCTCAAACATTTCTTACAAGTCCTTCACAACTTAGAACTGATTTACCCATGCAAAATTCTTACTGTGATCACAGAAACTTTGATAGTTTGACAAACCAGCCTTTATTTAGGGCTTTCAAAATAAACCGGAGCTCCGAAGGGTGCCATATGAGGTTCACCGCCGATTACTTTGTCTATTAGACAACTTGCATGTCAGACTAATTTTTGATTTAGGCAAAAAAAGTAAATTCCCGTAAAGAACTTATTAAAATCAGTAAAATTGCTAAATTTCGTTACGAAATGTTGTAAAATACAGAAAATATAGCCTTGCGAAGTTTGCGGCATATTTTCAGTATGTTTGTATTACGTGCGGAAATTGTTACCATTTTTGAGCCGAAAATGGTAACAATTCCCGCACGTAATACAAACATACTGAAAATATGCAAACTTTGCAAAGCTATATATATTTTCTGTATTTTACAACATTTTGCAACCAAATACTTACTTTACTGATTTCATTATGTTCTTTTTAACTGTTGTGTTTGAATCCATTATCTTTATTTAAATTAAAATTTAGTCTAATATGCAAGTTGTCCATTAGTACTTGAACTATCAATTCTGCTCGCCTTCCTCCCCTCTAAGCTCCCAAACAAAGTTATTTTTCCTCAACCTGCAAATGGTCTATGGACCGCTCCCCACAGCCGGCTACTTTATCAACACAGGCAACTACTCAGAATAATTCTGAAAATCCTGCTCATTGAGGATAAAATTAAACTACGAACTTTCGAGATGGATTCACATTTGGAATTTGACTGTCAAGGATTAATGAGTTAACAAAATCTCGCAGCAGAAAACATGGCAAGGCATTACTTAGATTGTAAAATATTGACACCAAAAACATCCATTTTTATATAAATATATTTCTTACTTGCAAGTTCAAAATCCGAAGCAGAGACTACGTTAGTTTTGTCAACTTGACAATTCGCTGGGATAATATCTTAATCTCTATGAGCCTTAATCTCTTTGAAATAATCCTTAATCTCTTTGAAATAATCCTTAATCTCTTTCAATATAATCCTTTATTTCTTTGAGATAACCTTTATCTCTTCGAGATAATTCTTTATCTCTTTGAGATAATCCTTAATCTCTTTGAGAGAGTCCTTGATCTCTTTGAGATAATCCTTAATCTCTTTGAGATAATCCTTAATCTCTTTGAGAGAATCCTTAATCTCTTTGAGATTATCTTAATCTCTTTAGGATAATCCTTGATCTCTGTATGATCATTCCCCCATCTCTTTGTGATAATATATTTGGCCTTAATCTCTTATAATTCAGACTCAGATACAGAATCCTTAATCTCTCTGAGATAATCCTAAATCACTATAGGATCCTAATTTTCTATGATCTTCCCTTTTCCTCATGTTTTTTGTGATAATACACAGCTATTTCAATTAAGGCTGTCCCCGAGCAAAGCGGAAAAGTCGAATACGAGCGCGAAAGGCTGCTGGGAATCGCTAAAAAAATTAAAGAATTTTTTAGCGATTCCTAGCAGTCTTTCGCGCTCGTATTCGACTTTTCCGCTTTGCTCGTGGACAACCTTAATTGAAATAGCTGTATACCTTAATCTCCTACAATTCCGACTCAGAGGTAGATACATCACTACTTTTGTCGTGTAACTTAACAATTTGTTGTGATAATACCTTAATCTCCTTTAAGGCTGTTAAAGCCTCTTCGGCATCTATTGGCTTGATACTTTCAGATTCCTCATCATCCACAGTGTTCTCCTGTGTCCTGTTCTTTTCGAGAGATTGTTTAGCGATTGATGTTTTCACTGGTTTCAAAAGGCGGTTTCCCTTTGTGGAATTGTCTCGTCCTAAAACAAAATTGTTATACAAAATTTAAAATAAAAACCTCACAGTGATATAGTAAATAACTCCATCACTTCTAAACTGTACTGTTGTCCAAGACCCTATGTTCAAGGAAGGGCTTTCTCTTAAAGTATTTGGTTCAAGGCTTTCAGAATTATTCTGAGTATAGGCGGCTGTGTTGTTAAAGTAGGCGGCTAGGGAGTCTTAAAGTCATCCAAAATTAACTAGTGTATATTGATTAGATGGCAACACAACTGAGCTCAATGACCAACTTATAATATATCACTACTTTCATTCTTCAACAAGAAAACTTCAAGATTTAAGATGCCAAATAACTAAATCAGTTTTACGAAATAGTACGTCAGTTTCTATAATAACCAGGCTATAAAGTAGACCAGATTGAGGAAAAATAACTTTGTTTGAAAGCTTGGAGTGGAGAAGAACAAAAACTATATGATTATGACTATGCACTTGGTTTTAGGTGCGACCGTTGACCCGATGAGCACTCCCAAAGGGTCTTAGCTAGAGGGCCGTGTTGGCCGTGGAAAAACACGGCTAGATAAAATGAACGCGGCTTCACTATTTATATAAGGCCATGTAGATTCGTAAAATAAGGTGGTGCTACTTACAACAGACAGAATTTCTTCCAATTTATGTCGTAAGAAAATTTGTAAAATCTACTGTTGTTGTTGTTGTTGTTGTTGTTGTTGTTGTTGTTGTTGTTGTTGTTGAAATTGGCAAATTAAAGTGATCCGTGATGTTTTAATGTTTTGATGGATAATGGGAACTGTATGGTGTTAAATGCAATATGAGCGTATGCTCGCCTTGTATTTGGTTGCAAAGCATAGAACAACCACAGACATTGTCTGTTGTCGGCGAGTATAACTAGAACCGTGAATTTGGCTATTCAAAGTAATTGACATGTGCACATCCTGGTTATTAGAAACACTCCCAAGATCTAAAATCCTAGCTAAGACCCTGCCTCCCAAACAAATCTGTCTGGATCCACTCCTGTATTATGTATTACACGTACCAGTAACTGGTTGAGATCTGACAACATGACTCCTATCTTCACGAATTCTGACCATCAATAAATTCCTTTCTTTTTCAACACTTTTCAACTGCTTCTCGCATCTTGCTAGTTTCTCGCTATATTCTCGTTCAATATTCGCCACCATATTACCTGCTTGCTGTTTCTCACGGCTCACTTGTCTCTCTGCATTTTTCAATGCTGCTACGGCCTTAGCATGTTCACGACGAACGTCGTTCAGTTGGATTTCTATCATACTCATATCTTCAGCGTTTCTAAGCCGCTCTTTTTCCATCGCTTCACGATGTTCTAGGGATTGAAAATAGGATAGAATAATATTGTAGTTATTGATGGTGGTTGTTGTTTGTAGTGGTGGCGCCCTGTTTTTGGTGTTGTTGTGGCTGTTGTTTGTGGTGGAGGATTGTGCTGTCGTTGTTGTTCATTTTTATTTAGTCGGCAAAGAACTATATATGTTATTATTGTCGCTGTTGGTTGTTGTTGTTGTTGTTGGTTGTTGTCGCTGTTGGTTGTTGTTGTTGTTGGTTGTTGTTGTTGTTGGTTGTTGCTTGTTGTTGTTGTTGTTGTTGTTGTTGTGGTCGTTGTTGTTGTTGTTGTTGTTGTTGTTGTTGTTGTTGTTCGTTGTTGTTGTTGTTGTTGTTCGTTGTTGTTGTTGTTGTTGTTGTTGTTGTTGTTGTTGTTGTTGTTGTTGTTGTTGTTGTTGTTGTTGTTGTTGTTGTTGTTGTTGTTGTTGTTGTTGTTGTGGTTGTTGTTGTTGTTGTTGTGGTTGTTGTTGTTGTTGTTGTTGTTGTTGTTGTTGTTGTTGTTGTTGTTGTTGTTGTTGTTGTTGTTGTTGTTGTTGTTATTGTTGTTGTTGTTGTTGTTGTTGTTGTTGTTGTTGTTGTTGTTGTTGTTGTTGTTGTTGTTGTTGTTGTTGTTGTTGTTGTTGTTGTTGTTGTTGTTGTTGTGGTCGTTGTTGTCGTAGTTGTTCTCGTTGTTGTTGTTTGTTGTAAGGATTTTGAAAATATAAAAGTTCACAACGTACCTTTCTCGATGGTAGTTTTCTCTTTACTTAAAGACAACTTAAGTTCCTCGATCGTTTCCGAGGCTTCTTCCAGTTCCTCACATTTTGTTTCCAGTTGATCTTGCAACGAGTGAAGCCTTTCTTTCTTCTCTGATTCCGATACTTCGAGCTGTGACAAAATCATTGTGAATCTTTGCATGGAATTGGTTGAATCACAAATGCATCGAAAGGCACATACATACCTTTCCAATTTGGGTATTTTTCTCTCCAATTACGCCCTCGTATTGCTCCTGTAGTGCGGACGTTTTCTCTTGTAAAGTTTGGTTGTGCTTTTTGGTTTCATTCAATAACACTGCTCTCTCTTTAAGAAGTCTTTCAACTTCAGATTTTAAATGTTCTTCATTTTCACGAGTTGATTCGTCTAAACGAGTCAAACAATTACAAAAAATTTGGACAAAAACGGCTTTCAGTGGTGTAACTTTACTTTTTTTGACCACTAGCCCTCAGGGCAAGTTGGATATGAAAATTAGTTGCCCTGAATAAAATTCACTTGCCATCAGACAATGGCCACTGGGGTATCTACTACCTAGGTAGGGGGTATAAATTAAGGGGACAACATGTCGACCTGCTCTCCCACTGTTCTGTATGGCTATGTTATACTGCCTCAGATCTAGCTTTGGCTCACAAAAAACAAAATTCGAATCAAGTACATGCATGCACTATAAATAAATTTATCCGACAATGAAAACATAAACTTAAAGATGCCCAGCTTTTGTGGCAAGACAACTTGTCCAATCGGGCAAGCAAGATAAAACGTTTACTTGACCGTCATGATATTCACTTGCCCCGGGCAAGCGGGCCAGTGTTAACTTACAGACCTCTGGCTTTATGTCAAAAATAAAAAAATACAATAAAAGAGAGATTGGCGCTAATATGCTTCATACTTTAACATTAGTTTAACCATGCAGGATTTTAACCTTCAAATGTTAATTGTGCGTAGAGGTATTATATTAAGATCTAACATCTGCAGAGTGCAGCCACTCGATACCTTACCAGGAATTACTTCACCGTCTTTACCATCTTCATCATATGATTTAGTTTTCTGCTGTAAATCACGGTGGACCAAGAATTCTATACAAACAAATGAAATAACTAGTTCTTTCTTATATACATAAAATATCGTCTGTTTAAACTTTTTAGAAGTTGTATGTTAGTAGGATCGTGACAAACAGCAAGAAGTTCGATCATATCTCACCAAAACTGCAAGAACTGAATTGGCTTCCAGTTAAGGAACACTTCCTTTTTAGAGATACAGTTTTGATGTACAAGTGTATTAACAATCTAGCCCCACCTTACTTGTGCAATAAATTTAGTAAACGATCAAATATACATGAATGTAACACTCGTAACCGAGAGCTCCTCCAAATACCGATTTATAATACCACCACTGGCCAGAGAACATTTCATTATAGAGGGGTGAAACTATGGAATGATCTGGACAATAACACAAAACAAATGCCATCTCTGAGAAGTTTTAAGAATAAATTAAAGAAAGACATGTTAGACAGATTGTATTCTTAGTAATGGACTATTTTAATAATAGAAGATTTTTCCTAGTAAATTTTATATATGTAATCTTAACCTTGTTTTTTAATCAGCATTCCATGTAAATTAGTGTTGAAAAGCCTCTTTGAGAACACAATAAAGTATGTATGTATGTATGTATCATTGTATGTATGTATGTAACTATCTCCCTTATAAGCCGAGAGTTCCAGTAAGGGCCATCGTCTAATGGGCAACTAAACTGGAGGACCTGCGGGGTTTGGTAGCAAGCATTCTCCTGAACAGCAACTGAAGCGAAATTATAATATGACAACTGCACATTGCAGGAATCGAAACCAGTCACAGGAGTCTTACGCCCGTATTCTAAAAGCTCACTCCTCAATGAGTGGAGGTTCAATCTGAGTTTTTCTTGAGTATCAATGCTGTTTTTGAATAGCTGGAAGGTGAGTAGTCAGATAGTAAGGTACGACACTAACCCTCCAGCTATTCAAAAACAGCATTGACACTCAAGAGAAGCCCAGATTGAACCTCCACTCATTGAGTGCGAGTGAGCTTTTAGAATACGGACGTTAGTCTCTAATCATTGTACCACCAACATACCATACCTGATATGAACTGAATCCGTGAACCGGCGAACGTTAGTCGTTGATCAAACGAAGTTAACTTGGAAACAGTTTTGTTCAAGTTTGTCAGTGATTGCAACAACATCTTCTCAACGTCCTCTGTGGATCTGCGTAGAGCTTGAAAATGCGTTGACCACTGCTCTTCCTGTTTCTTGAACACAGCATTTTCTTCTCGTAGTTTTCCATTTTCTTGTTGTAGTGCCGTTCGTTTCTTTATCTCCAGTTCGATGGCAGCTTCTTGGTCTGCAAGCTTGTGATTTAAAATGGAGTTGCTTCGTTCGAGTTCTTGCAATTGCGAATTTAAACCGCTTATCTGAAAAATGATGAAAATAATTTCAAACTTTATTTATACTGTATAGTTTTATCAGACAATGCAGTGTTCAGTTTTACATTGTTCGCCTTATAGATGTCCCCTACAAGGTTGAAAATGAGTTGAGCCTGGATGAAACGAGGACGAGAGTGCATGAGAGTTGGCAGTCACGCGAGCTTGGTTAGCTGTTCTTAATGCTTTCCCAACACTATCATGTATTCTATTGAAGTTGAAGCATAGTTGGAACATTCATCAAACCTTTATTTTTAACATCTAGAGCTTAAAATTTTTGCTGTGATTTTCTCCTTTTGGAGGATGTGAAGGAGTAGATTACTTAATGATGTCACAGAATAAAGACATACAGAAGTGTATCTCCTTATTAAAAGTGCGTAAGGGATTTTTTCAGTCCGCCATGTTCTTAGCAAGTGCCCTAAAGAGAGGCAGTCACCCCCCTGAAAACATATTGAAAATTTAATATTCCAGGGGGGTGAATGCCTCTTTTTAGGCACTTGCTAAGAACATGGCCGCCAGCTATTTCAGTAAAAAGCGCCTTACGGTTTTGTAATGGAGGTTACACTTCTGTATGTCTTTATTCTGTGATGATGTTGTTATGAGATTTCATAACCTGGAACATTTATAACTGATCTACTCCTTCACATCCTTCAAAAGGAGAAAATCGCAACTAAAATCGCAGCAAAAATGCGCGACTGGGAACTTTCATGAACTCTTATCCTCGTTGGACCTGGACTTTAAACAAGAACCTTGGCGTCTTCTTTTCGCTTCGTCTCATTTTCAACAATCTTCTGTGACTGCAGTTGCACCATGAGAGCAAACACTTTCTCCCTCCACGTCCTCAATAAGCCCTCGTTACCCCCATTAACCCCCGTCACACCCCCATGTCTGGTCAGCTCCGTTTCGTGGATCGAGACTATTTCCAAAATCGCTGACAGTCTAACGTTGAGTAACTTCACAGTTGAGTGTAGGGTGTTGTTTTCATCAGTTAGTACTTGCATGTTGTTTGTTAGTCGCTTGTTGGCTTCACTCAGTTTTTTAGCTTCTTGGCTCGGTCTAACATCGCCGATGTAGGATCGCAGTTGTTCTACGGATCTGGAGAGAGCGTTGATTTCCTCGTCTTTTTTCAGCAAGGTTTCTGAAATAACAAAGAGCAGGGAAAGTGTACTATTAATGAGTAGTTTGTGTCTGAATTGCCTGGAAAAAAATTAAAAACAACGGCAGTCAATTTTGGGGGTGCGAAATTAGGCTATTTAACCTGGAACTGAGTTAACTTTTTGCACGCAGGACATCGATTCAGATACATGTAAATGTACGCCAATTTTGGAAATATAAATGCGCAAAAGTTCCAAATGCACCTTTTTAGTATAAATCTGTTTGGTCCAAATTTGTGAACTCCAATTACTATGTAAACAAATTGCTGTCAGTTACTAGTAATATAACCACTCAGCACAGCAATTTCACATTGGTACTACAGTATACCCACACTGGTACAGACAGTTTTTAGTATGTAAACAAATGTACGCCATATGTACATTATACAATTCACTGTGCATTACTATTTTGATACTTGAATTCAGATGTTGATAAAATCATGCGTAAATCACTAGTTTAGTCTCAGTTTTCTTCGAAAAAAAAAAACACTAAAGAAATACGTAAACATGTTTCTAGCTTGTCAACAATCCAAAGTGACAATAAAATAAAATTTTTATTACAGTAATTTAAAAAAATGCCGCGGAAACTGCCAAAATTGCCGTAGACAGGCTGTTACGTTCTACGGCAATTTTTAACGCCATTGCCATCGATTGATTTCAGGTAAATATGATGCCTGGGTTGGAATTATCCTGAGTAGGTGGTTGTGGGAAGTTGATCTAGGGAGTCTTAAAGTCATCCAAATTAACTACAGGGTGTATCATAAAAAACGGAGTCCATCTTTTGTACTTAATAACTATCGGCCTGCTATATTTAATAAAACGGTTTTAGGCTTATTTTAAGGCCTGCTCATTTATCTTTCGAACAAATGGTCATCCGTGTCTTTA